TTAGACTATCTTTACCTCCATTCCAATTATCAAGAATTCAAAATTCAAGCATTCACACTGTACTGGCGGAATACAACTCTAATGGCGTGGCCATGTTGTTTGTGTGCCAAGTGTACATTTGCCTAACAGATTGTTTTATGGAGAACTCACACAAAGCAAGCATTCGTATAGAGGGCAGAAGAAGTAATACAAGAATACTCCCAGGATCTCTCTGAAGAGACACTGGCACATGACCACCCAATGTGGCATCCCTGCATCAAAGAAGGCACTGACTCTATGAGCAAAGCAGAATTACAGCAATAGCTCAAAAGAAATGTGAAATGCACAAATGTAGAGACATCTCCATTCCAAATGTTCACATGGACTATTTGTGCCCAACTTGTGGTAGAACCTTCCGAACCCATGTTGATCTGATCAGCCATAGCTGGACATACTGTACCTTAATCCCAACATAGTGATGTCATTTTGGTCCTCTTTGAGCATGACAGATGACCACCGACCAACTTCCATTCCATCCTGCATATGGTTACTAGATTAGCCTTATGGTATAGCTCTAGCTATGTTGCTCTACTGCTCAAACACCTTCAATAGCTTCCTATTGCTTATTGAATGGTCTATACTACTTAGCTAACTACTTCAAGATCCTTTATTGCTTTGTTGCAACCTACCTTTCCAGTCTTATTTTCTCTAATCCCCTATTTTCAATAATCCCCAATGAGGGCTAAACACATCCAGAGTTTTCTGCCTCTGTGATTTAATTCATCTAATTCCTATTACTTGAAATGCTTTCCCTGCTCTCTATCCTCAACCATTTCTACCTATCAAAGTCTTATTCATTCTTTAAATACTTTTTTAACTTTTTAAAAATAATTTTTATCTATTTCATTAAATATTTCCCAATTACATATAAAAAAATTAATAATATTTTTAAATGAGCTTCAAATTCTCTCCTCTTTCCCTCCCTCCCCCTCCTATTCTTGAGAAGGCAAGCAATTTGATATCGACTACATATGTGAAGTTGTATAAAATGCATTTCCATATTATTCCCATTGCAAAAGAAAACACGCAAAAATAAAACAATAAGAACAAAAAGAGTGAAAAAAGTGTGTTTTAATCTACATTCAGAATTCATCAGTTCTCCCTCTGGAGGTGTATAGCATTTTTCATTTTGGTCCATTGGAATTGTCTTTGGTCATTGTCTTGATCAGAACCGCTAAGTCTTTCACAATTGATCAGCCTTACAATATTGCTATTACTGTGAACAATATTCTTCTGTTTCTATTTCTTCACTTTGCATCAATTCATTGAAGTCTTCCCAGGTTTTTCTGAAACCATACTGCTGATCATTTCTTATCTTAGCACAATAATATTTCATCGCAATCATATACCACAACTCATTCAGTCATTCCCCAATTGGTGGACATCCCCTCAATTTCTAATCCTTTGCCACTACAAAAAGAACTGCAATAAATATATTTGTACTAGGTCCTTTACCCTTTTCTTTGATCTCTTTGTGATATAAATCTAGTAGTAGTATTGCTAGGTGAAAGGATATGCACAGTTTTACAGCCCTTGGGGTATAGTTTTGAATTGTTCTCCAGAATGGTTGAAATCAGTTCAGAATTCCACCAATAATGCATTAGTGTCTCAATTTTTCCACATCCCCTCCAGCCTTTATCATTTTCTTTTTCTGTCCTGTTAGCCAATCTGATATCTTTCTTTGCCAAGAAAATCCCAGATGGGGTCATGAAGAGTCAGACGTGACTGAAAAATGACCAAACAATGAGAATGATTTATTGTACCTGTATTTTACTCCAATCAGTATTAATCAGTTTAGTGTGATTCCATAGGGGTAGTGATTATAATGATATGTTTATCTGTTAACATACATTGAGTCAGTCTAGTCAAGTAATATTAGCAAAGGAATTACATATATTAATATCTATTTTTCAAATATTATACTTGGGGATAATTAGATAAGATAAATTCTTTCTCATAATAAGCCCCAGACTTTAAACTATAAGTTATAAATTCACTAGCTTGTTAACCTATAAGTTCACTGTTCACTCATCTGCTACATCGCTCATTTGCCTAACCACAAGAATGCTGACTAGATGACTTCTACCCTTTTGAGTGATGAGTAGGTGACCAAGCCCAGTGTGGGTGAGATGTCCTAATATGATATGGAAAGTCCTCTAATTTATTTTGTACCTCCAGACCACGCATTCTTGCCCAACATGAGGAGATGCTTATCGTATGACTTCTTAGTCAGTGGAGATGACCCTTGCCTTGCCCATCCTGTGACTACCCATGCTGATGCATCATTTCTGGCCCTCCTGGAGAGTCAAAATCAAAAACTATCAACTAATGGACTCTACATTTTAATTTGCCTCATCTGTGTCTCTTGGTATCAAGCACTATAAAACTGGAGCCCTGGAAACAGGGGGCATCTCAGATCATGAGGAAGATCTGAAGTCCCATTCACTGAAGGGAGTCTATCCCTTTTATAAATGGTTATTAGTTTGGAGCTCTGCCTCAGTTTCTTTTATTGCAGATTGGGTAATTTTTGGACCCTAGAACAATAATAATCTCTCAAATATCTGTGATACCCAATCATAAATACCTACAGAATCCTGGGGAATTGATATCTTGCTTAAAAAGCAAATATGATGAAGGAGTAACTCACAGTTTCTGGTTTCTAGAAGTCCTTTTCTCCCATTTCTGGGGTGCTCAAGAAGTTTCTCTTAAGCATCATGAATTAGCATCCATCATCCTTGGCTACTGATAAGAAGTATTGATGTCATCTTATCTGGGACACCAGTAGGACTATGGGAATTCCAAAATCTTTGAAACCTTTTGAAGTTTGTAAGGTCTTCTTCTGGCCGAGGGCAGGGTGGAGGTAGGACAAAAGATGAGGAGACCTGGCTGAACCTAAGGCTGAAGTTTCTTCTCTTCTCCTCTTCTTCATCATCTTGGGTATTCTAGAAATTTACACTTTCTCTAACATCCTAAGTTCAATTCTTTCTCAATTCCCTTGATAATTTATATGGCTAAATTTTCTTGGCATATGGCTAAATTTTCTTGACATATTCAAACACGGTTGCTGTGTAATGCCATTTCAGTTCAAAACATTTTAGTCTTTTAGCATTTAGGCTAAGACATATTCTAACCAAGTTAAGCCTAAATGAGAATGGAGTCCAGTCCTCATGACCCTGTGAATCAGGAAGTGAGAGTGAGAGAAGGAATCAGCGACCAGGGTAGTGGGTTGCAAGTGTGTCCTCAGGATTGAGCAAGATTTCAGTTAAAGGAAAGAAGTGAAAAGAATATTTGTTAAAAAAAAGTATAAGTTTATAGGGAAATTTGTTGATAATATAGAAGAATTCTTAAGGGCACAACGGAACTAATCCCAGATTAGTGATCACAGAAGATCACAGAATCACAGAGCCCACCTAGGTTTTAAATTACTTGAAGTAAGAAACTCTTTGTATCCTCTACAATGTGCCTAGCAAAAATAATCCTAATATCATCTCCCTTGCTTCATCTACCTCTCTGGATGGGATCTATTGCCTTCTTTGCCTGTGACAACTTCGGGATACTTCCTGTTTACTAGATAGAGTTGCTATCCTGGTCCTATTTGGCTAGCCTTATCCTATGGCAATCAACATCCTTGTGTGACATTGGTAATAGTTCTTTTCTCTCCCTCTCATTCACTCACATTCTTTCATCTTCTCCCTCATCCTGTCTTTCTGTTTCTCTGTTTCTTTGCCTCTGTCTTTCTTCTTTTCTCCCCTCCCCTGTTACGCCCAGTACTATTCCACTTCCCTCCTTTTCACATTTAAACTTCCTACAATTTGGCCCCGTTCCACATTTCCAGTTGTATTACAAATTGCTTCCCACCTGTCTTTCTATCATTTAAACAAACTAACTTTCTTGCTATAACTTATACATGATGTTCCATTTCCTGACTCCAGTGTAAGTGGGAGATGTATATCTATCTTACATATACGTATATATTTATTTATTGTATGTGCATTGTTACATTTCATGTTGTCTCCTTCATTAGGATGTGACCTTCTTGAGAAATTGTATTTTTTTTTTGCCTTTTTTTTGGATTCTAGCCCTTAGCATAATGCTGATCACATTGTTAACTAGATTAGGTCTTTAATGGAATCTCATTATTTCAGGGTTCATCCCTCAGTTTCTTTCTTGTTACTCATTGGGTTTCTATAACTTCATCTGGATCATCCTGAAAGTGTGTTTGAGAAAGAAAGGAAGGAAGGAAGAAAGAAAGGAAGAAAGAAAGAAGATAAAAAAAAGACACAAGGAAAAAAGTTAAAGACAAAAGAAAAGCAAAAGAAAGTAAAGGGAAGTAAAGAAAAGCTAAGTTGTAAAAATAGCTCTTTTAAATTTGGCTCCAAAGTAAAGTTGAAGAAATGCATCACTATTCTTCACTCTAGAGGTAAGGAATATAGTATATGCTGTCAGACACAGCAGATGCATCAGTTAATTTTGTTGAACATTTTTTCTTTCTCTTACTTTTAAAGTTTTGGTTCCGAGGGATGGCTCACTGGGTAGGGAAGGAAGGGGAGCATATTCAGAAATAAATAGAATGCACAAAGCAAAGGGTATTGATATAAGTGATATTTTTTTGAAAGTAACTGTCATATTTTAAACAGTCTTTAGCTCATCATCTATTGATTGATCAGACTTCTGCATCAATGAGTTAAGGTCCATCTACAACACCAGATGTTCTGTTTCAATTCAGTAAACATTTATTAAACACCTACTATGTACAAGGCACTGTGTTAGGCATTGTTAACACCAGGAATTTGACTATGACAAGTATCTGGTGCTCATAAAACATATTACTGACACACTGACCCTGTGCCATGACTCAGCTTACCACCCATGGACAGCCAACCTTTCTGCTTCCTGAAATTGTTCCTCTTTTCTGTTGGTATTTCATATCTGGTCCAGAAAAGACTTCTTCCTGAAGACAGAGGGTGATAGATAGAACACCTCCCTTACCTTCAGTATAATGAAGGACTATAATTCTATAGCCTCATTGATTTAGAACTTTATTCTTTGTCTGGCTTGTTTGTATCATAACTGTAGGAGAATGTTCTCATCTAAGTGATTCCATTAGAGAATTATGTCATGCTTGCCAATGATCAGAGCACTCTCTAATGGTTTCCTGTACTTTTCAATGCTAAAGGTTGATTGGCTCAGAGTTTCAACTTTTGCCAACTCACGTTATTAGAAACAGTATAAAATCCTGATCTAGTTCTTTGTGCCACCTTGCCTTGGACTGCAGGTTCCTGGACTGGGTGCTACAACTGGGCAAGAATTTCAAACAACAAGACTGACCTGTAACACTGCCAGCTACCTATACCTACAATACAACTGAGAAGTCCATCACTTCATGGAAAACCAGTAGCTCCTTTCAGAAGCCTATGCCTTGCTGAGATACACACTGTGAGTCTGGGGATCTGGGGGATGGACGGAATTCTGATGAAGTGCCTTTGTTCTTGTTCCTATTGAGTATCCTTGCCAAGAATACCCTCGATCAACTGAGCACTGAGCGTTAGGCTTTAGCCTAAACCTGAATGCTAAGTAAATATCCCACTGGACTGATGTAGCTAATGCTCTCATCATTTCCTTGGCTCAGTTACCCTAATGCAGCATCAAAGATACAAAGATAGATGCAGAGTTAGAAAAGAGAGAAATCTTTTTAGGAAAGCTTTCATTCATTTCATGTGAGATAGAAATGTTTTCTGCACAAGTTCTTTTTCTGCCTGCATCTTCTCTTTTCTAAGCAGTTATTTGATGTTATCCTTGGAAATAGCCATTCTTCTCCAGTCTTAATGAAATGCAGGGCTCTATGCATAGATATAGCTGGGTATAGGAGTCTCTGACCTTCTTTCCTCCCTTCCCCCTACCCCAGACTACAATGACAATTACGCTTGATATGTCTTTATCACCTCTCAGTGTTGTCGATTTTTTGGTCCTTCTCATTATAAAGTCAGCCCCAGATTGCCAACACTAAAGATAAAGATAGGATTTGGGACTGGGGATAAAGGCATGTATTGGGAGAGTGGGTACAGTGTGTGCATGTATAATAATAATAATAATTAGCATTTATGTAGTGGTTAAGGTTTGCAAAGCAGTTTACAAATATTTCATTTTACCCTCAAAATAATACAAGGAAGTAGGTGCTATTAAATTTCTCATTTTTCAGATGAGGAAAATGAGACAAAAAGAACTTAAATCACTTGCCCAGGATCATACAGCTAGTAAATGTCTGAGAAAGGATTGGAACTAGGGTTTTCTTGACTCCAAGCCTGGCACTGTCCACTATGCCACCTAGATACATTAGTGTCTATGCACGTGTGCCAAAGTGAATATATATATATATATATGTTTCAGTTTTCAAAGAGACTATAAACATTTTAATTTCTGGATTATTAGCATTTTTTTGGACGTGACCTCACTGAGTATCTACTGTACAAACAAAAACACATAAGAAAATAAACTACTTTTTCCCCCCAGCACTTATCTACCCCCCTGAAAAGCCATGAAACTTTTGAGATCAGGTTTATAGTAGTCTGTTAGTCACAAATGCCTTACTAGGTGCTTTGAAGGTAGGGACTGTATTTTAACTAACCTTTACCTTCTTCCCAGTTCTCAGCACTGTGCTTTGTTACATATTCAATACTTGACTACTCAAATGGAGCTGGGATCTTATTAATGTGCATGTTTGCTCCAGAGACACAAATCTCAACCCATCTATTGTAGCTCTTGTCAATGTCCTCTCACAATTTCACTGTGGGAGTGCATTCAAAGTGCTGGGGACCTTCCTCAAGTTCTTTTGACCTTATGAGAACACCAGTAGAACTATGGCTCATCAGTACCCCTTGTTCTCAACACACTACCAATTAACTCCTCTCTTTTGAAATTCCTTATTCTTAATGAGTTGCAACCAACTCAAATCCACTATGTTCTTACTTAAGTGATCTTTAATTCCAGTTCTTTAGACACTAATGTTTCATAACCCATGGTTATTGTTCAGTCATTTCAGTCATGTCTGACTCTTTGTGACCCCATCTGAAGTTTTCTTGGCAAAAATACTGGAGTGGTTTGCCATTTCCTTATCCGGCTTATTTCACAGGTGATAAAGCTGAGGTTTAAGGGACTTGCTCAGGGTCACACAGTAGTAAATGAACTCAGGTATTCCTGACTCCAGGCTTGGCATTCTATTCGCTCTACCATCTGCTTGTCTTTCATGACTTGCAGACATATAATAACATCCAAAAAATACTAATATTGATGGATCTATTTTTTCAGAAGCATGGGGAACATTAAAGGAACTTCTCAGTTCCCCAAAGGCAATCTATCCCACTCTCCATCTGACATTCAATACTGGACTCTACTAATTGTCCAATTGAAGTGTCTTCTCAAGATATGGAAGCTGAGGGGCAGCTAGGTGGCACAGCAGCTAGAGCACCAGCCCTGGAGTCAGGAGGATCTAAGTTCAAATCCAGTCTCAGACACATAACACTCACTAGCTGTATGACTCTGGGCAAGTCACTTAATCCCATAGAAACTGATAGATAAAATATGTTGTCCATTTAACTGCATATTATAGTTAGAACAATAGGAATTTTTATCCACTTATTTTTTCCTCTGTGTATACTTAAATTAAACTCTTTTCAGTGATAATGAATCTCACTTAGGAGGTTTTCCAGTGCTCTAGAGCTTAGCCCAATAAACACAATGTCATCTAAAAGCAGGAGCATCTGGAAGACTTCATCACATATAGGAGGATCCATCTTCAAGTTAAGCTCTGCATTGTATTTCCTCCATGGCAGTAGTGAACAACAAATCCCCCCTCTGATGCTTACTACTGATGTGACCTTGGGCCAATAACTTTTCTGGTCCTCAGTTTCCTCTTCCGTAAAATGAGCGGGGTGGATTACATAAATACTGAAGTCTTGGTCTATGATCTATGACCTTACGAGGCTCCGATGACAATATATCTCTCAGATTTATACCATATTTGAATCCAAGAATTTGTGGGTCATGGAACAGTGCTCTTTCTATTGTTTATGTATTTCAAGCTATCACATAATTTTGATATATATACTAGGGAATTTAGAAAGGAGGAGGATTTAAGAGGTACACATGTTGCCATGGACAAATAATTCATCACCAAGCAGCCGATTCAATGGTGATGAGCCTCTCTGAACTTAGGTTAAACACAGTCTATTGCCAGCACTAGACTTCAAGCTTTCCTAGCATGCTAGAACCTGCCTTAGTGTGAGTTCTCCTGGTATACCCTCTGAGAGTCAATGGTCATTTTCATGAATCTTATGCATAGTAGGTGCTTAATAAATGTTTTGTTGTTGTTATTATTCAATTGTGTTCTACTCTTCATGATCTCTTTCGGGGTTTTCTTGGCAAAGATACTGGAGTGGTTTTGCCATTTCCTTCTCCAGTTCATTTTATAGATAAGGAAACTGAGACAGAGTTAAGTGACTTGCTCAAAATCACATAGCTAGTAAGTGTCTGAGGCTAGATTCAAACTCAGGGAGATGAGACTTTCTGACTCTAGGCCATGCTCTATCCACCATCTCACATGGCTGTCCCTTATAAATGTAGGTTATTTTCTATTTTTGCACTTGAGCCCATTCTGTAACTTCACATTCTGTGTATCTGAATGTTAAGGATTCACTTGAATAATGGTAGTAAGTAATTTTTTTTATCTGAATTTTTGAATGGTTAGAGGAAATTAATTTACCTAGAAACTCCTTAAGTAGCCACGTGATCTTGGCCAAACTTACATTATCTCTCTAAGATGTAGTTTTCTCATCTATGAAATGAAAGAGTTGGACTAGGATGATCTATAAAGTCCAATCAAATATGTTTAATAGGAATGTATATGCAGAGCCTGTATCAGATCGTGAGCCACCTTGGGGAGGGAAGAGAGGAAGGAGGGGGAGAAAAATTTAAAACTCAAAAGCTTATGGAAGAGATAGCTGATAAATCAAAATAAATAAATAAATAAAATAAAAAAAGATAAAGTCCCCTCAAGTTCTGAGAGTCTATGATTAAATGTTGCATAGACCTGGCCTTTGAGTGCTGTAATCTGGTTTGGTGTTCTTCACTGCCACCTTCTGTATTTTTGTAGTACTGCAGATGAATTTTTAATAGATAAAGCAATATTAGAGTTGGAAGGGACCTAAAAAACAGTTAGTTCTATAAGATAACTTACCTGACTCTACAAATATAGTGCATTTGCTTTGAGATGATTTCCCCTCCACCCCCTAGTCTCATTTGTGTTCATTCATCTATTCTTTCTTACCCAGGTATTCTTATAACCAAATCATTTTCATGATAGCTATATCATTAGAATAATATGTCTCCATGAATGTGAAACTTAACTGTCCCAAGCAAAGTCGGAACTATAATACTATGAAGTTACCAGCTGAGCCATTGTAACTGATGCCCAAGTGCATCAAACGATTGTGATATTGATACCTTCTCCTCCTCTTCCCCCATCCCCCTGAATAAAGGGACTAAATCTGAGTTAATGTATGGAATGCCCCTATGCTTAGAATGGGCAGCTAGGTGGTGCAGTGGATAGATGTCAGGCCTGGAGTCAGAAGACTCATCTTCTTGAGTTCAAATATGTCTGCAGACACTTAGTAGCTGTGTTCCCCTGGACAAGTCAATTAACCCTGTTTACCTCAAGTTTCCTCGTTTATAAAATGAGCTGGAGAAGGAAATGGCAAACCACTCTAGTATCTTTGCCAAGAAAACCCCAAATGGGTTTATGAAGGGTTGGACATGACTAAAAATGACAGAACAAACAAATGCTTAGAATTTCTTATTTTCCTCCTTTCCTTCTCCATTCTTGAAGTCTTATTCCATTTGACACACCTTCTATAAAACTTTCCCTGATCCCTCCCTAACCCCACTCTCAGTTAGACTTTTCTCCCTTTTAGAGAAGGAAATAAATTTCATAGAAGTTTATTTGCATCTCTGTTGTGCATTTATCATGCGTTACGGCAGGAATTTGTTTTTAATCAAAAATTTTAACTTCTCTTATGCTTTGTATGGTCTACCACAAATGGTAGGAAGTACTTAAATATTTGTCTAATTGAATTAGAATTGTTGAATATAAATACCAGAAAGTTGGAATATGAAATAAACTATCTTGTAAGTATACAACTTCCACATGCATATATAATACAAAGCAACTAGGCTTTAACTAGGAATTCTTGAACTCACAAAATATTCCATAAGAGAGTGGGTGGAGATGAGTACACCTTCCTGAGATTTAGTTGTATCAGCGCTCAGAACAACCTGATCTTTAGAGTATATGCTCTGAATGACAATGACAGAAGATAGTTAACCAGGCAGTCAACTAGAAATTATTATGCTCCTACTATGTGCCAGATACTGTGCTAAGAGCT